GGGGGGGCGGGTCGCGCGTCGGGGAGGTGGGTTATTTATGGGACAACGTGACCGACGGTCTTTATTTTCGGTCACGAACGGGGCCCACATAATTATACTACCCGAGTCCGGCGACGGTGTCGTACATTTGTTCCGGTTTTTCGTCCAACGACAACTTCAATAACAACAACAACAATAATAATAATATCGTTATCATCATCATCGGCGTAGATAAATGTATTATTTTACCTATTACACAAGCGTATATCAATGTGACAGTCATACTTATCTAACTTAGTACTTATACCGACTACGGTTATGCAAAGGGTGACAAGTATTTTCGATTTTACTAAAATTATCATGATTCATAGTATAAACAATGGGTATATGGGCCCCTGGGCACCCATAATCCATATCACTTAACAATTTAAGTATGAACTTTTTTATTTTTTATTTGCGAGGCTTTCGTGTATTGTGAAAAAAATAAACAAACGATAATGTATATAACCACATACCTTGTATTTGACCTATAGGTGCTCGAAGATTTAAAAATGAAACTGAGATGAAACGAAGTGGTTTTAAGTGAATGACATTCTTTCCACGATTCATACCAGCAGTACAACTACCACAGAATTATTGTGAAGCAAAAATCGCAAAACAAAAATAAACTGAACTAAAGTATAATTTATACCTTTAACAGTTACATTTTTAACTTTAGTTTAGTTGTTTTTGTATGGCATTAACATAATCACATTTTGTGATTTTAATTTTTCTTACACGCCCATAAGTTACATTTTAATAGTGTTAATTTAGTTTGTTAGCGCAGTATCTATCACAGGTAATACTCGTTTGCACCACTCGCCGGGTTTAGAACGCAAATTAATAATCATATTAAAAGTATATTCGGATTCCCGATCATAAATCACATAAATCACATGCGTGCCTATATAGCTAGTATTTAGTATCATTATAACTTTGTGGCTATAGCCGGACGACGTGAGCCTATATATCAACATACAATTAGTTATGTTTACAGATTAAATGACAAATGTAATTGAGGCATCATCAATCGAACCAAAATTTACTACCTACATAATTAACGAACAAATAGTTACATACGAGTAACGAGTATTTACAGTGTTTTAAGCTAAAAAAATGCATATATTATTTTATATATATTATTATTTATATTATTATATATATTTATTATATTAATGTATACATTATAATATACTGTAGTAGTGTAGTGTATTTATAAATAATGAATGTATTATGCATTATAGTGTCCGTATATCGACGCATGTACTTCGAATTAGACAAGAATATTTTATAAAATATCATTAATGCTCAACGAGTTTCAATTTAAATCGGAATTATGTCCTGTAACTAAGGAAACATTTTTTTTTCAAATACCAAGATATTTTTATGTAAATATTTTCTTTCTTATTAAGACCTCCAAATCAACAGAAGTCAATATCTATCCAATTATAATATACAACCACGACGTTTCAAAGTTTGAAAAATGATTTCCATCAAAACACAATTTCCCTCATAAACTCCTTCTTTGCGTACCTGCTCATGCATCAATTAGGATTTGAGTGCTTAATATTCAGCTGCCATTCTCCATTCGTCACTATGGGGTTACCAATATTTTTATAATACAATAAATAATATTTCCTTGATATTTGTATTATATTTATAGACGGACTTCGTAAAAATATGTGTTATAATTAATATATAGACAAACAATAATAATATTTGTATGACTATGCAATGGTATACAAAATATATTGGTACTGAGGTAGTAACATAATACAACATATACAGATTAGCAGTACTAGGATTTGGGATTTAGGATTTAAAATTATACATTAATAATAGGATAACAATTATAATATTATTAATATGAGATTTAATTTTAGAAAAATATACCTAATATTATATTATGTTCAAATATTTCAAATATTAAAATTAAAAAATTAACATAATATTACATTATCGATTACTTACCGACAACGTTGAGATATCCGATTTGAGTCTTAGCAGTGATCGTATTTATTTGACACATGTAACGGCCTCGATCCTCTTGCTGCACATTGTTTATGTGCAAAAACCACGTACGGTGCTTATCGTGGGACACGGTAATTCTTGGATTTCTAGTGATCACGTGGCTATTCACCGTCAATATGGCAGACTGTTCAAAGTGCATCCAAGCTACCTGTAAAGCAAAATATTTAAATATCAACAATAATAATAAAGCTATAGAAATATTTTGTGACACGTTTTAAATAATTGTTATGTTATGCATAATAATATATTAGGCGTTTCCAAAGCTATCGACCATAAGTAATTATTATTTTCCAGCTCAGTGCAGCGTTTGTAAACAGCCATTTAAAATAGGATGATATAGCATCTTTTTACTTTTACAGAGTGTAACATTGACAGAATGATACTAATCGAAATCCGATTTTGAAAAGTGGACGTTTTAAAGCTAGTAATTGCAGGGTTTTTTTTGACAAAAACATTTCGGCGACACTTTTAATACAAAAAAAGTTGTTTTTTTATACTTGGGAGATATATCATTTACCTCATAAGGTTATGACATTTTTCTGATAAATAATTGTCCATCAAAAACTATATAATCAAAAGTTTGAAGGTGTCTTCCAAAAAAAAAATAATAATAATAATAATAATAATGTCGTATCATTAAGGCATAATATTATTATCTAGCTATTATATGATGAAGCACGATTTCTTGTACCAATTATATTTTGTGGTTTGGTTAAACAGTCAAAATGTGATATACCTACAGCATTTCATGGAGTTAAAAAAAACATCAAACCATAATATTATATAAAATTAATATATCCATATTTTTTTCATCATCATCAGAACATTACAAAAATTAATTTATTGTAAATATTTTACTATGGTTAATGTAATTGTATATATTTAATCATTTATATATAAAAGTTGTTTAGTTCCACTGAAACCCATGATAGGTACGTTCAATAAACAAAATTTTTTTCTATCATCATTTATATGCGATATTTTCTAATGTTGATAAAAAAAAAGTTTCTAATGTTTCTGTATTTAATACGGGTACATTAAACAAATTATTATTAATAAAGAAAATAAATACCTACATCAAATTAAATGTCAAAGAATTAAATATCAGATATTATTATACTAAGAAGAATTCCATATAGAATATACTGCCAAGACGAAATGTATTAAAATCAAAAGTCGGAAAATAAAAAAAATCGAAGAATTTGGTCTTATACATAATAAACTGATTTTTTCTCCCTATTTTTTAGTTATTTTATTCTGATAAAAATATTTTCATGATACAATTTTTAAAAAAGTTGATACTAGATTGAGATAGGTCGATAAGTGTGTTTCGATAAAACAAAATTGTTCTTTCTCACATCACTGCTTTTTGTCATATTACAAGAATTTCTCTAAAACTACTCTGATCACTTTTACTCTTCTGCAAAGGGCTTTTCTAAAGTAAAAAGTAATAAAATATTTACGTAAAGTATTGAAAAAGAACGAAGAATGAATAATAATATTAATACAACACTTAAAATAATAACTTAATACATTTAGAATATAATAATATAAGTAAATTGTAAATGTGTCAAGATTGAATTTGCCTTAAATATAATGAAGACAATTAATACATTTATTAAAAAGAACTTAAAAGTTATTGTTATTTCATTTTATAACATCGACAGGTATATTTTGCATTTTGATTCCTTCTTTATATAATATTATAAGAACTAATGCGATTTTATTTAGACTTAATGACTAAACAAAATTATACAATACATTATAAAAAAAAACTTTATTAGTAATAAGCATACATACTTTTCTTTGATTGTGAAGCTAATATTTAATAATAATTAACATACATAAATAAAATATTTAAAATATCTTTCTATTTAATATTTATTATTATTGTGTTAATTATTCCGTGTTTAAGTGTTGTGTTTTTAATATCAAATTATAAGTTTTCTCAGAAAGAAAAAATTAATTTGAAAAATAATAAATGTTTAGTTTATAATATTTATTTAACGATTTTTTAATTGTATAAGAATAAACTTGATTATTTCAAAAAAATTATCGGGTTTAAATTAATTTTAAAAATATTTAGTAGGCATACTTCAGTAACATTCAGTTACTCAATGGTTATAATTTTTTATATACCTGTCTATATAACATATTATATGCATGAAGTATTAACTTTAAATTTTTAAACATTAACTTCCTAATCAAAAAGTTTTTTACTACTCCACATAGCCTACTTCTTTTTATTGTTGTAATTCTTTCTCTCTTAAACAAGTATCAAATCATATTATTTTAATTTTTTTAAGGAAAACGATATAATATTTAAATATATGATTTATTTTTGATTTACGAAAGACTTTTTTTACCGACACAAATGTTTTATTTATTGAGGCAGCCCTTAAGGAGATGTTCACGAAACGAATTAACGACACATATTGATGAAAATAAATCAATCTAAATGGAAATAATATTATTAAAAAAGCTAAACAAAATACAAAAAAGTGGTTCGGAAATATTTCATATTTTGACAAATATAAACCATGATTGTACAGTGTACACATGATGTCAAATTTAGTATTTTTCCATTGTATTCCAGATACTTTTTATTATTTTAAGTCCCTATAGTATTTTAATAAATCATTGCAGACCGGAAGTAAAAGACTCAGTAAGTTGATTCAACTTTTACAATTCCGAAAAAATAAAGATAAAAACATTTGGTCTGCAGTAGTACTATTATTTTATCATCATTATAATTATTATTGTTATAAATTATTATTATTATTATTATTATTATTATGACTCTTATCATTATTACAATGGAGTAAAAGGAGTAGTACTTAAGATAAAAATAAGTGAAAGAGGGTAGAAATTGGTTGGTTGAACTAATGTTCAGCGCCCGCAGCCCTGCAGCTACCAAAAATAATAATCAAAAACGAGGGGCAACACCGGCGAAATTGGCCAATTACTCTCAGGTGGTGCCCTTCTCTACCTTAATATCTCAACTTTTGCATAACATTTATGATATTGAATCGGTTAGTTGTCCTACGCCAGTCAAAACCTTAAACATTTCAAACATAAGAAAAGTATAGTTAAACAAGTTAGATAAATAAAATATGTTGTCAACAATACTTTGGTTAACGGTCAAAAAATTACAAAATATATTATATTCTGATAAAACGTGAAATATGATGAATGGGCTTCAGAGTGGCGCTTTCAACTGGACTAAAACGACCATATTTACTACTCATATTTTAACCGTTTACATGTATCATCAGATATCATGTACATTGTACATCCTCGAACATGTTAATTTATATTCTGTTTATAAGAATGGAAAATTATATCGTTAAATTAACATTTTTTTGTTTCTGATTAATCAAATAGTTGGTTTTTTGAAATTAACAGAATGATACATTATTTTTACCAACACTTCATCTCCTATGCTTTAAAAGGAGTAAACTCTAAAACAACAAACATTGGTATAGATTATATACCAGCTAGATAGCATTAATAGATAATAGTTTAATAAAAAATGTTAGATATTTATATATCCGTATGTTCTATAAACGTCTTGATGTTCAGTACCCTGCACGTTTCTGCATACACAGACTCAAACCTAAATAGACTAACCTGCCTTTAAATATAACGAACACAAATCACATAAGGTGGGTTTTATCAATGTACAAGAAAATGAAAATAATTTCAAATCAAAATTGATGGCCGCAGTATGAGTTCGCTTAGTTATTTGAGTCGTGTGGTATAGAGATTACCTATAAAAAAGGGTGTATTCGTAAACTTAAAATTCGACACACGTGCGTTATGCTAGACGAGAATTATACAGCTGTGCAAAACAGAATGAATACCTCTGGCATTTTTGAACGGATTTTTTTCACCCTTATACAGCTCCAATTGCCCTTTTTCTGGCACACGCCTCAAATGTTCACCATGTCTGTGCATAATACCGACTTTGGTTTTTCAAATGCAAACATCCGTAACGTGACACTCGAGAAAAATGTTCATACATACATAAATATGAGTGTGTTTATTTTTGGGATCAAAGGCCTCGTAAGAAGGTTAAATGTTCAAGTATAATATTATAACATAGGACAAAGGTCGGACGCACTACAAATTTCCAAAAACCAAAAAGTATTTATAAAAAATATATATACATAACATCATACAATACGCAATACAATACTTGAAAATAGAGTATTAAAATATTATTCTAAGAAGTAGTTTTCATGCATTTAATATAGAATGAACTACCCGAAGTACAGAATTTGTTCAAAATCAAAACTAAAATAACATTTATAAAAAATATACATATGATTATCCTGCTGTATTTATAAATGTTTGCAAAAAATTTATAAAGATAAATATATTGTATACTTGCAAAGATAAAGTATACACTATGCACGTTATAACTATATAAATACAACCTAATCAGAAACCATTTTGTACTAATATGATTTATTGTAAATACCATTTATCGTTTACAACTTAACTCCTGCAGATAAGTTGAATTCAAGCCGAATTTAAGTACTACGAAATCCAAGGCGGTGTTTTTAGATATGTAAATACTTAGTTTTAGTATAATTTCTGTCAATATAGTGTATTACAAGCTCACTTGATGGGTACTAATCAAATAAAAATAACTATTTACATATGTGAAATATAATAATTTAGCATCATTAATATAGGTACATAACTAGATGCATCAAATATCAAATTAAATTCAATAGAAATGAAGTACCCTTATCCATTTATCAATGGAGAAAATATCGCTATCATTTATGGTTATATCTGCAAATTATAATTATGTTTAGGTATTGTATTAATTGTTTTTTACGTAAACCCAATTATTTGATCCCTGCAGGTTAAATTTATATGTATACAAGTATACAACACAGCTCACACACATCGCGAGTTACTACACTACATCGATATTCGTGTAAAATAAAACGTAACTAGGACGTATTGATATGTATTTTCAATCATATTTTACAGCATTCATGTAGTATTAAATTGATAAACTTTAGATTTCTAGTAACGCAGTATCACTATAAAGTCACCAAAGTACATAATTAATTCACGTAAAACGCACTGCAATAAAAAAATGAAAATAGTTTTTTTTTTCCATCTCCACAGCTACAACGGTCTACAATGTTAATAAATAAAGCCTCTCTGGTTCAAGACGGGCGTCGAGAGAAAATACAAAAACTAATTAAACTTAATGTTAAAACAAACATTTAAACTTACCATAATACTAACAACTGAGAAAGCCGCGGAAGAACCGACGACTAATGTAATTTATTGTTTTCATTGTACGATAAGAAATCTAAACATAGTTCACCGATCGTGTGGAATATAAAGAACTAGCAAAGTACCTACCTAACTAACGTCTATAAAACTAGTCTGAGATTTAATCGTTCGTATGAGCTGTTGAGCTTTTACGGCACTATTAACATACAAATTTATTTTTTTTAAAGAATCGTACCGCCAAATAAAATATAATAAATATCAAACGCGTAAAAGTATTACAAAAATGATAAGGTATTTAGTAGTTTATATCATTATTTATTATATAGTAATATTATTTCAAATAAACGAATCGAAAATTTGATAGAGTACACTTCATTGATTTGAATCTACTTCAAATAATTACGTTCTGTAGGTATGTACCCACCTACACGGCTACACAAATGAAAGTATAAAAAAATAAATAATATTTAATATTATAGAGGCGAAAAATGGTCAGAACTCGTATTTCGTTTTTGTGACGAAATGCGTATTTTTCTCGTGGTAAATTTGATTGAAATAATATTACTTTTCATCCGAAAAATAACATAGGTATATATACCCATAGTTGATTCGCCAAATCCAGATAATGTGACAGTGTGTGAAGAGAGTGTTTTTTCCTCGGCGGGTTCAATCAAAATAATGGATTCTGGTTTCGGTGAGCGAGGAAAAATCATAAATATATATATATATGTGTAAACTTATATATCTGTAATATTAAGCACGTATTCGATTTCCGATGGAAAAAAAATATATCAAACCTTGTATGATCCCAGATTTCTGACGGAGCATCCTAGCTTTACACTACGTCCTGCAGGTACTGTCACGTTCGTTATGGGTTCCGTAAATTCCGGATCACCCGCAATCACTGAAACAACAAAAATATATTTTTAAGCACTTATTACGATTATTTTCAATATTATGTTATTATCAAAATGATGATCGACATCGGGGAGGGTTCTTAATAAATTTGAGTAGCAAATACCCAAGCACAATAAAATATGTATTAAGATGTCCTGTGTACTTTTCAAACGAAGCATAACGATATAATAATCATTTTTTTTTCTATTTCGCTTGGTACTGAACAAATAGAATGTAGAAATGTGGAATGCAATCCCAAACGGAATGACTAATGAAATATACAACAGGCTTTAATCTTAATGTAAATTTAATATTTTACCATCCGAATAAATATGTTTTTACTTAAATTTGAGAAATAATACTTATTGCTACGAAAGACAACTACAGTTCGATTCTATACTTATACAGAGCATTATTTTAATGTGTGTATAACATTATTATTTATTTTAATAGTATGTTAGGTCCTCAATTAGTTGTTCAGTTTTTTAATCCTAATTTGAGAATATTATAAAGCTCCAATATAAATAATGAAACTTCTAAGAAAAAAAATGTACATTAGTTGAAGAAAGTTCTAAGTAAATTACAACACCCGCAAAACTTGACGAACTTATGAACTTATTCACAAAATGATAACTGAATATACATTTCTTACGTATATTGAACAATAGAATTACGTGTTAGAAATATATATGTCCTAATTATTTATACTTTACAATAAATAAACTTAAAATAAAGAAAAGTTTTTTCCAAAAATGATTTTTTACTGTTCTCTGAATTTCTGGTTATATACCTTCATAAACACAAAAGAAAAATTAATTCGTTTTTAAAATACTATACAGAACAAACAAAATAATCAAATTTCATAAAAATTGAGTTAAAATAGTATAAAGTTATAAAAAAAGTGACTTCAAGTTGAATAGAGTAATTATTATTTATTTCAACTTAAATAATAAATATATAACGAGTACCTAAAATATATTCAAGCATGATTTTTGAGCATACAAACTATTACATGAATCCAAATTGAATTATTAAACGGAATATTATTTAATCATCAAATTAAATAGACATGTTACACATTTTTGTAGAACTATTATACGCTGTACGGTCGATATGTATATAAATAGAACATAATATACATATATGTATTGAATATTATTTTCCATCATGTCAAAGTATGATAAAAATGCCTAAGGTAAGTCATTTGCTCCAAAATGTATGTTATAAAAAAAGAAATAAATTTACGATTAGTGATTACATCTTAATTTCAAAAATAGTTTTACGTATAATTAAACAAAATGTATTGTAATATTACTTCAACCGTCGACTATCTTGAATAATTTAGTATTTGAACTAATATAAACACAATATCTGAGCTACTCATGTAATATATAGTAATTTATAATGTCCAAAAAAATCTTAACTTCCTATAAGTAGCATGATAGAATGTTGATCATTTTTATCACATACGTGCGCGGGACATATAGTATGGGACTTTTATCTAGAATTCCTGCACAACACCGGTGATTTTAGATATGTTTTTATTGGTTTATGAAGGTTTATTATGATATTGCAATAGATAATTTTTTTTTTTATGTACTTTGTATTTTTGTAAAAAATATTTAAGTTCCTTTCTACACGACACAATTTATTGTTTTCATAGTTTCAATGTAGAAAAAAGTTTTTGTTGGTGTACACACATATTTCTGGTTATTAATAAACATTCGGTGTTTTATACAGAATATATTTTGTATGATACCAATATTTCTATACAGTAGAATCCGCTTAATTGGTACACCACTTAATGGGGGCGAATTGGCATAGTCCCGAACGAATGTATTCGTTTAAGGCAATTTAACTTCGTTTATTTGAGACAAACCATCGGTTGTACGAGTAAGGAACAAAAATAAAAGCGTCTAATTAGATATTCCTACCTAAATTATCTACTTCTTATTGAAACTGTAATTATCTAATGTTTATAGCTCTATATTATATATAGGTAATGTCAACTATGTCAATTATGTCAATCATTTATGTTTATTTTACTACCACAATAAGAGTTGACTAGCCTACGTACAAATTCGGAAAACTTTATTTCGCGTTCTTTCGTCTCTGTGTAGTAACGTATGTGTGTTTTTATTGATCCCAGGTCGTGATGAATTAAGTATGTTAATTAATTTATAATAAATATGTATACATAATAAAATAATCATCTAATTTATTTTTTCATCTACGCCTCAACTCTCATCCAAATGCACTAATTAAAAACCTAGCTGCATTAACCATCCCTGGTAACCCTCCTCGTCGCCTTAAGCGAATATGGTGCGGAGACCTACTTAACCCTTAATCAAAAAATAATTAAATAATTACAAGACGAAAATGTCATCGATGGGTGGCTTCTTCAATCAAATTTTTCAATTTTATATTTATTGTAGCTCATACTCTCATTGTGCCGGAGGTACAGATTGCGTATATATTAATAAAGAAAAAAAAATATTCACGATGTGTAATAGGTAATACTAAATAGTAAATATAATGTACTACTGCTAATAATAAGAATAAGAATTGTATGTAATTTTTAAATAAAGTCTGAATTAAGTGTGTATAGTGTATGTATATATTTTTTAAATAAAATCATTATGTATGTATATATGCACTTTAACAGTTTCGGTTTATTAGTTATTCAGTTAATCGAGACAGTCGGATAATGGAGACAATAATAGGTCACAACCCAAAACAAAATGTGTCCCAATTAAGCGGATTCTACTGTATAGACAAATAATATAAACATATTATATGTATTAAATAGATGCAAAATTAAAAACTAAGAATAAAAAAATAGTTGAAACTTTAAATAGTATAAGGGCATGGTTATAGAAATCGGCTTAAAAACTGATGGGCCACTTTTAAAAGCTTCGTTTTTTTGTATTACGTATAATGAAACTTTACCAGTGGAAATGTATATCGATTTTTAAAAATTTACAATTTTTTTTAAAAATAACAAAAAGTTTAGGCGTGGAACATTATAAATTATAATATATAATGGTTTCGGGATGTATTGCACACATTATTTGCATCACAGAGGAATATAATTTGACTGAAAACGGTAAATAGAAATGCATTTATGCCGCGTATGATAATATAATATATGCGTATAGCGCAGCTATATATAATAATAATAATGGATATATTATAATAGGTACGTGTGGTTATACCATGGAAATTCGACACACATTTAAGCCAATAATAATGTAGTTGCGTTTATGTAATATATATATATACATACGTACGGGTGTACCTACGTTTTATATTTGGGCACCGCAGTACAGTGACTATATAGGTAGTTATATAAACCCTATAAATAGACGGGTACGGACCGTACAGTACTGGGTACACCTATATTATTATCATCGATACGTTCGATTCGATGGGTGGTGTGCCGCACTGTAGTCGCGTGGGCGGGGTAGGTAACGGAGAAACGTATGACGGCATCAACGTGATCAGACGACAGACACGAGAGCATTATATTATTATATTATTTGGGTACGAACGTATCGCGCTAATGAGACTAAACGAGTGTAGACTAATCCTGCGACGAAAAGCAATTAGACGATTGCGCCCGCGAAAAAAAGGACCAAGCCGGCGGCGGCGAGAAAAACCTGGCGGGAAAAACAAAATAATATGCTTTACATATTATTATTATTTTAATAATAACGCGGACGGAAGAAAACCACCGCGCGTAGGTGGCGGCGACCGAGTGGGCGGGTGTCGTGTGCCGGCGTGTGTGTCAGTCACGCAGCAGCAGCAGCAGCAGCACACGTGTGACAGATGCATCAATCTCGCGCGAACGTGAAATGAGGAAGACGCCGCCGCCGCACATTATACAGAAAGCTCGGAGAGAAAAAAACGCCGCGAAACAACGACATTTGTGTTGTATTATTCAGCCACGTCTCCCCTCCCCTCGCCGCCCCGCCCCGCCCCGCCATCGAGCTCGCGTCACCCGGTGCGTTTCGCCTTGTTGATTCCTCTCGCGGTTTAATATTGCATTCATCAAATAATAATAATAATAATAATAATAACAATAATACAACGAATAAATAACAGAAAAAAAAAAAAAAATACGTAAATCGTATAAATCGTCAACAGTGTATATAACGTATATAATAATACCGATGGGTGTCTGCGTGTGCGTGTGTACAATAAACTTTGTATGTGTTTATGAAAAGCGGGGAGTCGCTAGAGCGCCTTAATCGATTTACGTTCGCGTTGTTGTATTATAATATAATATATTTGTTTTATGTTCGAGTGTTATTATACGCACATTGTTGTCCGCATAAAAAGTGATTTGTTCTCCCTACACGGGACGTACCCCGCTCGACGCTTGCAAAAATCCAAAAAACAAAGCATGTACCTATACTACTTGAGATACGATGAATCGTCGTCCAACGACCTCGACGAAGTTTTTCGCGACTTTGGCACTTTGCCGGTAATCTTGCAAACGTCGAGTATCGCGATTTCGTATGGAATCCAAACGGATGTCATCATTTTCATAAGTTTTCGTCGAAATTATTGTGCGTGTATTTTTCTCTGACTTCATGTCGCAAGATACCGAATAGAAGCCAACCGTCATTGTAGGGTTGATGGTTTCTGACGGAACGTAGTTTTCATTATCATTTTACAACATTAATACGACTAGACCAGGGATATTCAAACTTTTTCATCCCACGACTCCCTTTAAGTCTTCACAAAACGTTGACGGCTCCCAAATTATAAATGACAAAAAAATCAATGTTTATATGATTGTAATTTATATTTTATAATTTATTTACCATGTTACATACATAAAATAAATTAAAGCTATATTTAGCGAATAATTGTTGTAAACAATTCAACGTTTCCCAACCGGTGTGCCTCAATGATATTAGTAAACGTTTTTCGTAAAAATATTTTTTGGTTTTCAATATTATACTACGCGGCTCCCTTCGACAACTCCCGCGACGCCCCTAG